AGCAATAGCCAGCAGTAATTAGCATGGTAGTGAAGTTAACCATGACAACAACAATGATGGTAATAATAAATTTGCACTGCGGAATGCCGGCCCTGGTACCAAGCAGTTTACATGTATTGTCCCCTTTAATCTTGAACACAGCCCCCACGAAATGGGTGCCAGGATACCCTGTGAGGGGCTGGAGGCTGAGGGCGACTGCCTCAGGGTCCCCAGCCAGATAGGCAGGATCTGGAGCTGGCTGTGGGTGGACAGCACCCTTTTGAGCGCTACCTGATCACCTCCAGGAACGAGCACAAGCACACAGGGTAGGAGGCTCCTTAGTTTGTTCTGGTCACAACCAAAGGAGGAAGGCTGCTCAGGGGTTTCCATCCCTTCACTGCCTCTGAGCAGCCCCACAGGCCCGGGCCGTGAGGGGTGAAGTCCTGCACAGGGTGCACTGGCTGGCCTTCAAGCCTCAAGTCCTTTACTTGGCCCGCTTTGACTTTATTTTGAGCTCAGCCTCTGGGCCATCTCTTGATTTGCTTGGTCCTCCCCTGTGTGGAGCCAGGAGGCATCATGCAGAAACTAAGGCGTGAGGTTTGTCTCAGACGCTAGATCCCAGGCTAGATCCTGGAAGGATCTGCAGGGCCACCTGTAGTCCCTGCCTCCACAACTGCTCTGCTTGGCTCTGACCCACAGCCATTCGCCAAGGCAGTGAATCCCCTCCACCCCCAAGATTGCCCTCTGTGCCCGGCCCCCACAATGCCTGGATCTTCCCATGGAGGTGTCTGTGTCTGAGGACTCCAGCCCAGGGCGTGAGGGGCCAGCGAGGAGTGCAAGTCTACGCCCCAGCCCCCTCAAGCCTGCTCTGCCCTTCTCATCCACAGACTAAGAGAAGCTTAAGGAATGCAACTGAGCCTGTCTCTTGGCTTGCCTGAGATGTTCTAAGAGTAATAGCCCCAAACTTGTGCAACTTCAAAGCAGTCCCAGGGTTGGTGGATGGGGGCAAGGGTGGGCAGCACCCCCAACTTTTCCTCTGGCTGGCCTGCAGGTTCCTGTTCCTGAAGATCATGGCCATGCTCACCGAGCTTCGCAGCATCAATGCCCAGCACACCCAGAGGCTGCTGCGCATCCAGGACATACACCCCTTCGCTAGCCCCCTCATGCGGGAGTTGTTTGGCATCACAGATGGCTGAGCAGCTGCCTCCCTGGGAGAGCCTCCGAGGGGCAGCCCGAGCCAGAGCCCTGCCCTTGGAGCTGCCATTCCTGGAACTAGATAGATGGATACTGCTGAGAGCTGACAATGCCCTACAGGTCCTCCCTCCGCGGGGAACTCACAACCATTCCTCAGGAAAGGGACGAGGGTCTCCCCAGGCCCCAGCCCAGTCTGTGGAGAGTGAAGCCATAGAAAGTTTGATGGAGAGTGCACCGGCCTATAGGCCAGGCCCATCCAGAGGCAAGACCACCCTCCCCTTAGAAATGGCCCTGTGGTCTGAGCATCTAGTGTCATGGTAGGAGAGGGGAAGTGTCTGTGAGAGAAGCCAGAAGGCCTACAGCAAACGTCAGAGGCTTGTCAAGACCTTTGTGTCTATTCTTTCTTCCTTCTGTGTCCTTCATTCTGTGTCTCTGCACCCGTGCAAACACACTAGCAAGCACCAACAGTATGCAGCGTGCTGTGGGCTGTGCGCCGATTCAGACATAGTTCCGGACCTCCAAGACTTTAAAAGTTCAACTTGAGGGCACCTGGGTGGCTCAGTTGGTTAAGCGACTGCCTTCGGCTCAGGTCATGATCCTGGAGTCCCGGGGTCGAGTCCCACATTGGGCTTCCTGCTCAGCAGGGAGTCTGCTTCTCCCTCTGACCCTCTTCCCTCTCGTGCTGTCTCTCATTCTCTCTCTCTCAAATAAATAAATAAAATCTTTAAAAAAAAAAAGTTCAACTTGAGAAAACAAAGCAGAAACACAAAGAACTTTGAGCCAAAGAAGTGGTAAGGGCCGTAAGAAGCACAAGGAATTTCTTCCTGTGAACGCTGAGCTGTGTGGGCTTTCTGAGGGACCAAGTGAGGGACCTCTGGAACATATGTTCATGGGAGGAAAGGCACTAACTGGCCGTGTGCACATGCGTGTGACTTAGTGTGTGTCTGCTCCACGTCTGACCCAGGGATTGGGTTTGCCCCCGCAGCTGGAACACTGGGGTGCTCTCTGTGACAGGTTGTGTTGAGAGGCAGTTAATAAACATCCTAGCTATGCATGCACTGTATCTTCCTGTTTACACATCTATTTTGAAAGCTAAAGAAAATGACAATGGTTGCTTTGTTTATAGCCATTTTGAGTAAAAATGTTTTTGCTCTTGGTGCAAATTACATTTTGACTAATATTACATAAGGCATTCTACACATAAGGACAAGACTTAGCAAATATGTTCATGAGTTTAGTGCCAAATCAAGGCAAGAGGATTTAAATAATTAATTTTTGGCTAGAGTTTTAAACCTTTTTTTGCCTTCTTTTCTTGGGGAAAAAATGTGGGGGTGGGAAAATAGAAATATTATTATATAATATACATATCTATTTCTTCACTACTTGTTTTACTATTGCCCTTTACACATCTGACGGCTGTTGGTGTTGGTGTAAAAACAAAAATGATTTAACTTGGTTTGTTCATAAAATTATCCCATATAAAAAATCCATATAAACATGATACACCCCACAATATGGTATATGTGTTGGTATATATATATATATATACCAAAATTAAAAATGTAGTTAGTAATTGAATTTTAAATGTCTAATGTTTTGAGGCAAATGAGGCTGCAAGTTAACTGAATTTTAAGGAACACTTGTTTAGCTTTTACCATTTTACAAAAAGCAGGCCAAAATTTGAGAACATAAGAAATTGTTGACATTGTAAATCAAAGCAAGCAAACATATTCCTTGCTATCTCCCCAGATTTACCAGCCTCTTCTGCATTAAGGATATAGAACACACTCATTTTTAGAAAAGAAACTGGGAGGAAAAAAGAGCTCCTCTCTCCGAATACAATGAATACAGATTTTGTTCCCAGGAATTTTGTCTCATTACACTCATTGGGAAATAGGAATTTTATTCAACTGTATTCATAAATCATATGCATCTCCTCTTCCCCATTGAAATAATTTTGAATGTGCTATTCATTCAAGAGCCCAAAATTGTTAAATATAGGCTACAGTAAGCCAAAATTAAGATAGGATGTAAACTCCCATGTCCTGGTATTGATTTTAAAAATACCTGCGTAGCTGAATGGATATGTACAGAGGATTTCTATATCATATAAAAATTATTGTAGTCCAAGTGTAGTTAAGATTCAAGGTGAGATACACCAAATTGCTCACACAGGATACTTCAATAGTTTTGTGGATCTTGACTTTATAGGGCTAGGAGCCAGATTCCACTTTGCTCCTCTCAAACGTTTGGATTGCTCCATTACTCCCTTTTCTGAGCCTTTGAACATACAGAACTGTCAGTTTCTAGGCATCTCTGTGGCTGCTGTGCATATTCTAGGTCTTGTCTCAGGTGAGGATGGAGTCTGTCTGCAAAGCTCAGGAGAAAAGCCCTTCTAAGTAAGTACTGCTTGCCTTTTGGCCCCCTCATTAGCCAGAGGCACTCAACAGCCAATCTCTATCCGGCCCAGACATTAAGGATCCAATGAAAGCATTGACATCAACAAGTTTTCTTGTGGGAAGGCTGGGGTGGCCTCTCCTTTCTAGAGAAGAGGATGTAAAGAGAAACATTGGATTGGCCATCCCTTCCCAGCTTCTAACAACTCGTGGGCCTCATCATGCCATGTTACACAGCAGCTTCCGTTTCCTCCAGACCTGTTCCCTTAACATGCCCACAGCGCTCCTAAGTCTGAAGGTGCTGGTGAGCAGATGAATATTTTACACCTGAGAAATGGGTGGCCGTATCATCACTCTGGGTCACTTCCTTTCACAAACTTCTCCATGAAGAGCAGCTCTGCAACCTGACCCCTCCCTTTCCTCACTACTCTTTCTAGAACACCTATGAAATGGCCTCCACTACCACTGTTCTCCTGAAATGTGATCCAAAGGACAGGTTGGTCGGTACTTTTTGGAAGACCTTCAAAACTAAAAATGCAGTCTTTCAGGCTTTAAGTTAAAAGGGCATCTTGCTCAATTGCAACTCAAATAGGGCAGGAAATATAATAGTAGTGAATCCCAAACAAATGCACTTCAGTGCCATCAGGAGGCCCATCCCAGGAGCGCTATCGTTATGTTTGCATTGTTCCCTCCTTCTCCCCAACCCCCTGCAACTGGTAAACATGTTTTAACTATTTTTCAAATATTAGCCAACCCCACCGCCACAATAAATAAAATGAGCAAATAAACAGAGGAGCAGACTTTATCCAATATAAATTTGTTTTTATTGAAGCAGCAGTCACATGACTTTATATCTAGCCTTTAGATTAGGCCTGACAGAGTGAGCCAGCCCTAAAAAAATGTTTCTTTTTGCACTAAGAGACATAACATGTTTACATACATCATCCAGTATTGGAAATGAGCAGATTCAAACACAACATGTGTTGGTTACCTGGGAGGTACAACCCCACGGTTTGTGGTGTTCATATATTTTACATACTCCCAAAGACCATTACTAATGGGATGAAAGTTAAAAGAAAATACAGCTACACCAAACCATGAACACAGTAATCAAAGACAGCAGCTTATACACGTTTTAAAAAATTTGTCCCTTTCAAGGACGTTTTCTTTCTTTTCAAAGCAGTGTCTGCAAAGCTTCCTCTACATCAAATCCAAAGGTTTCCAAGATGGAAGCTGCACCTCTTGGGGCTATACAATGGAATAAGGTCATTTAAAGAACAAGAACTGGTGTTCATATCTTGGTTTCATAATAAAGATCCATGTTTCTCTAATTGGAGGAACGGAGATGGTGATGTGACTACATATTGCAGTAGCAAAATAGGGTAAAGAAAAGAGGGTTGGGTACTGAAATAAAGACCACACACTTGTGAATTTTAATTTCATTTCCAGGCTAACCTACTTTTTATTTAATGCAAATTACAGTACCAGTTAACTATTTCCAAACCAAGTCACATAGAACGAAATGTATTTACAAGGGAATGGGGAAGGGAAAAAAAACATTGAGCATACTTTTCACAAAAAAGTTTATATTTAAAATGAAAAAAAAATCAGTCACAGAGGCATTCAAGTAGTAATAATGTTATACAGATTTTGCTTTTCTTTTATATCAAGACAGATTTGCACAAGTGTTTGCAAGTTTGTATACAACCCACAGTCCTTTATATATATATATATATATAATAAATTTTGTTTAGATTTGTTTTTAAGATGGAAGTGGTCACGCTAATTGGTATGTGTACAGGCCCAAGTGATCCATCGGCAACACATTTATAAATGCAAATTTTACAGGCAAGCACATTTTCATACATTTATCTGTATCTGCCTGTAGACAGATATAGTAAGAAAAAAAAACTTAAAAATGAACACAAGGAAGTCTACTTTGTCAAGCTAACCCCTTATGTACTGGTTGTCATTTTGCTTTTATTGCAGAGGTGCAAAACGGAGCAACAAACTTGAATAAAACGTCATAACCCTTGTGAAAATAATCCAAACCCCAGGGATTACTTTCAAAGCCTCTCAAACGCAGACCTTAGTCTGGGACTCTACTCTGCTTCTAGTTGTCGTATTTTCAGTGGCTCAGGTTTCTACCAGAATATTGTAAAGCATGCTTAGTTTATTTTTCTATATAGGGGAGAAAGTGTTCAGCTCTGCGATTAGATGATCACTAACATGAACAATAGAAATCAGATACAATTTTGGTTTAAAACAAAGGAAAAAAACCCCCAAACTCCTGGGGATCTGGCATTGGCCAAGCTTCCTTTGGAAGATTCCAAAGTTAAATCCCTTAAAAAGGAAAGGGAAAAAGAAATGAAATGCCAGTGTCTTTATATCCACAGGAATAGAGAATACAATAGTCCTCTCAGAAACCTTTGTATTGGTGCAGACAATATGACTGGTTAGGCAGGCTTTGTTAAAACACAAACCAAAAATATGTCTAAAAATTAAGAGGACTTAAAAAACGGACACAACATGTCTGGAAAGAAGGTGCAGTCTTCTGCCTTGCTGGAATGAACACACGATGTTTCAAAAAATAGCAACCTTTGGTTTGGTAAAGTTTGTTTTTTCTTCTACTCAAGACATCTTATATGGAGTACTTGGAGGCAAAACAAATGATTTTGATTTTTTTCTTTCAAAAAAGGCCTTCATGATGGGCACACAGCAAGAATTAAACTTATTTTTAAAGAAGGAAATGAAAATGACATTTCACTGAACACGGGGCGAGGGGGCAGGAGGGAGGGGATGGGCTGAGTTCCCTTGTTAACACAACAGTCCTCTTGGCTCGGTGGCGCTCGGGGCAGTAACCGCTAGTAACTGCACTAGAGCATTGTAGACCACTGACGGAGCAGAACCTGATACTATTAAGAAACTTGGATTTATAAAAACCAACTGTCTCTCTCTCTTTCATTTGGGAAGGAAGTGGATAAGGGGGAGAGAGCATGGAAGGCTCCTGGAATCTGCTGTCTGTAAGATCCATGGTTGGGACTTGGGGAAGAGATGAGCAAACTTGAATCTATTCAGTCTCTTCCAGCTCTAGGGCTCCCTGGCACGACACAAAGTCCCTGGATGGACTAAGTATGAAATGAAACCGGTCACTGCTACTGACTGAGGAGGAAACAGCTGCTCAGAACCAAAACAAAGGCAGGGCTTAAATGAAGTGAGATCATGAACACGGTTTCCTCTTTCCACTCCTGAGCATGGTATCACTGAAATTAACTGTGGAAGGGGCAAAGACACTGTTAGGCGTGAGTTATTATTTCAAAGGGAAAGGGGTAGGACAGGAGACACGGATAGAAAAACCAATTAAAATTTGAAAAATGAAAAATAAAAACAAAAAACAAACACATGGAAGCGAAGGCACTCCAAACTATATAGATACACTATACATTGCTAGAGTTATTGTTACAATAATACAGGCCGGTACCTACTGTACAGAGTTAAAACTATATGGCTTTAAAAAGCTCGTCTACATTTTGTCTGATTATTAAACAGAATCACTGCCCTGAACAGTAACTTTTTGCTCATTAATTAACAGTTCCTGGGTCCACATATTTACATACAAAACAATAAAACTTAAATTTAAAAACATTGAAAGAAAAGATAATGTACAAGCTTGAATTTGGTGAGGAGCTTTTTATTATTATTATTATTATTTACAAAAAGATATTCAGAGACCTGGATCTCACTTGTATAAAAGAGTTCTGTGATACCGCCATGATCCTTGAGAAAGAAAAATCATACACCTCAGCCCTCACACACATACACACAGGAATGAAAGAAAAGCATCTGACTTTTCTCTCTTCTTCTCTTACCCCATTTATGGGGGCAAAGGAGGGGGGAGTGTTTCCTAAAACAAGCACAGATTTTTATGGACTCTAGCAAATATACCAAGTCCAGAGTAGTGTCTGTGTCCAAATGTTTGGCTGGGCAGTTTGGTGTGACAGCAGGTCCACTTCTCTGTCATAGACCTGCTGTTCAGCTTTTTTATAAATCCTTTCTGAAAATGGTCTACCAAAGCCATTCCCTTTAGGAATTACCCGGCCAAATACTTTGATTCAGACTTCTTTCAAAGCTTAATTAGCTCTCAGAAGCGCATTATGAAATGTAAAGGTCAATTTGTTCGATTTGGTTTGACTGCATGTGTTTCCTTTCTCATGAACTCGGATATAACCAGAGGTTTGAGAAACCCCTTTTGTGGCCTAAGAGCTCAGCTAAACAGTGAGTGAAAACTAAGATGGCTCACAGTTGCCCTTCTGGGTACTGGTTCACTTCAGCAGGCAGTAGGACTCTCTTGGAGAGTCGCACGCACTTGGTAAAGAAGCAGGACAGGGTACCGGGGCCTGCGTTGAGGGCTGCCAGGAGACTCCACTTCCAAACCACCGGGAGGGCAAGACCCCTGACACGACCTAAGGTGGCAATGAGGAAGGGGAAGGGAGGTTACATATGATCGAGGGCTCAGCTCTACAGCCCTACAGTTATCAACTAACCTTGGAAAGTGTGTAGGGAAGAGTGGGTAGAAGGGAAAGGCGGCCATCACTCAAGTGATCTTTAAATGTAAAGTACAACTGATTGTGCCTTAAAGATTCATAGGTCAAGTAATGGCCCATAAGCACCAAGGTGACTAAGGTTCATTTTAGAGTATATAAGGCCCACAAAGATGTCAACCTTAAAAGTATAAAACAAACTAGTTGTGAAAATCTATTTCCTCACTGCAAACGTAATCCTTCAATCCTCTTTGCTTTCCAAGGAATATTGCTTTTTCTTCAAAAACAGAAACTGAGTCTTACACCATTCACTGATACACAAAGAAAACAGAAACAAAAACTCTTAACTGGGTGTGGGGGGGAAACATTCTTCTCATGCTTCAACCAGTTGATTTTGATACTGTGGACAAACACAAAAATAAAAGGCAGTATTGAATCTATGTATATATAACATATATACATACACACATTTATATAATCAGCTTTCCTATAAAGTCAGCAGGTACACGTGACTGTTTATACCATTTTTATGTGTAGTTCTTAATATTCCTACCAACTAAAATCACAATGGTCTATCTGACATACATCAATAAATAAAGTTTTAAAAGCATGAGGTTAAAAAAAAGCTGAAATTAAATACAGATTCTAGATTTGGATTTAAAATCAGAACTATGTGCAGAATGTGGCAATTTCTGCAAGCTCAATTTGTAATTAAAAATATGAAAAATAAACCAGTAGACTGTTACAGTTCACATTATTTAACTACAATGTCCTCTCAAGTGTATCTTTCCAAGGGAAGCAACTTTAGAAACAAATCTGGACAAATTCATTCACAGTGGTGAGATCTGCTCTTGGCCTGTCCCCTTCCTCCAGGTTCATCAGCTTTTGACCTCTGCAGCCAGAATGACTGGCTCAACATCCTTTTCAGTCTTCTGGTCACCAGTTTAAAACTGTACTAAGATTTGCAGAGAACCTTTGGTCAGGCAAACAAAGATCCACCCTCAGAGCACCCATGCTCCTCCTCTGATAGCCTCCAATTTAAGTTTCTTCACCACTAGCACTGATTAAGAGCAAAACAAAACCTTATCAAAGTCAATTAAGAATCTTCAAACTTTATTGACCTCCCTGGGTTACATACAAATGATACACATTTCCTTGTTTGTCTACCACACCTGCCCCCAACATACCAAAGGCAAGTCTTCAAATACCCGAGGATATGGATGAATTTGACAAGTGACACTGAAGTCCCCATTGAGTTACACCTGCTAAGCTCCCAACCAATTTCAAGCTGTGCACTATACCAAAGTCTTACACTTGACTTTAAAAGAAAACAAAGTTCAAAAAAAACTTCGGCACAGAACAAAGTCTTCTTCTTTTGTGGAAGGGGCATGAGGCAGGAGTCCTGTTTTTAAAGTATACAACAGCAGACTTGATAAAAAAAGATTGTCGTGGGAGAGAGATTGTGTGTTCTAGTGCTCCGCTTTCCCCTCCCCACAACCCCTCCCACCCCCTGGATCTCCCTCAAAGTGAGAATACAATGAAATTGGTTTGTATTTATAGATATTTTACAAGGTTAAATAAGAACAACAATAATAATAAAAAAATCTGAACACTAAAATGAGCAGGTTTTTTTCTCTTTTTAATTTTCTTTCCAAACGTGACCAGTGTTGCTGAGTGACACTCAAGTAACTGGCGGTTTTTCCTGTGCAACTGGCTGCTCGGGACTGTTCAGGTGGAGTTGGAAGCTGATGCAGAAGCGGCGTTGTTGGTCTGTCCACGGTCTCCGGCATTAGCATCTGCAAATCAGAAGTCCCAAGAGAGAGCATGAGCAATGCTTTAATACCCCAACGAGAAAAGTATACTGCCTCAACTGCAGACTGTGAGCTGTGTGGTCTTCCAAGCTGTATCTGAAAAGGTTGTTTTAAATATGGCCAATACTATGAAATCTGAATTTCTTTCTGCTTAGAGCTGAGTCCATGTCTTGGCCTGGTCCTTGTGCAGGGAAGATAAGCGTCTTTGAATAAGTTGGGGCCAGAGACCACTCTGTCAAAACTCCTGCTACTGATGGGATTAGCAGTGCGTGCATGAATACTCAGTTGGGAGTCTAGTTCACTTGAAAAGAAGTGAACAGTGCACAGCTGGGAAAACTTGCTGAACACTCTGAACCAGGGTATGCCATCTGCTTAAGTGGGTGAAATGGGTGGAGGCACTGAACATAACATGGGTCAGCACACTGAGAGGCAGAAGCACTATGCATAAATCAGCCTCAGCTGCTTACTTTCTAAGTTCAGTCCTTCTTCATTATTTGTAGAAATGGAAGACAATGAGCAAAAAAGAAACAGCCACTGCAGGACTGATTCACTTACTTAATTCAATAAAGCATCTTGTAGTCAAACATCTCGGCACTGAGCTTACTTCGCCTAATCTTTTGGAAATATATGTAACTTTAACTCTCCTACCCCCCCCCTTAAGGTCCATTATTATTTCACAGCATCTATTAACATTTAAGTGGGCATTTAGTTGCATCTGGATCAGCACTGCATCTCAGGTAGGCAAGAGACTGCTGTTTCAGTTGGTTAGTCCAGCCGCGTGCCTGTGTCATCATGCATGTGGACTGCTAATACATAGTGCTGGGCCTATTTTCTCCCCAACACTTTATCCTGAGCCCTGAACAAGAAGAGAAGGGGCTTGACTGGGATGGGTAACTTCTAAGACCCATCTTCCTAGAAGTCATACTGTCCTTGACCATCAAAGCTGGTGACACCAAAAACACAAGTTCAGAACCAGGTTCTGAAGTTCAGAAGTTTTGTCTCCCTAGAGACTGAAGTTCTCCTATATCCTCTAATGAGTAAACAACTGTCATGGCTGAATGCAACATTTGTCCTTGGATCTTTTTTGCTTGAATTTTTTAATTAGAGCAAGAAACGAAAGACCCCAACGACACAGAGGAACTCTTTACTTAAGGATTAGCTGTTCAGTTTATCATTCCAATGGCCACTCTATAATAACTACACTTCTTTTCTAAATTCCTGATTGTCCTGCCCTCAAAATAATCTGCCCTTATATACATTTAACTCAGCCTCTGGGGAAGAAATGTTTATATCTCTCACTTTGGTTATGTTTAACTCATTTAATTTCCTTCAAAACACTTATAGCTCACTACATAACTATGTCTAATACTTCATTCACGACTCCTGGTCTTTCTTAAATATGCCCTTCGTAGCGGGAATTTCACTCTTCAATGATCACCCAAGTTCTGTCAACAATGATACCACCAATTTCTGTCCAGGTCACATGTTCCTGTAAGCCTTTCTCAAGAAAAACAATCATTTTCATAATTCAAGCACAGGCTGCTTTAAACAAGTCTAGAAAAAGCCTGCAAGGTCGCAGAGCTATTTCAGAATGATAATGATCCTCACAAATCCAAACTTATTGTAGCATTTCCCATGCGCTGGATGACACTCAGAACCTATGCATGATCATCATCAAATAGCACTTCTCTCTCACTTTTCGTATGTGAAGAGGACAGGTACAACTTTCATGTTCTGGTCTTCCAATCATGAGGAATTTACCTGCTTGACCATGACAGGCATGGCAGGCGGCAGCTACACTGGAGGACACCCACTAAGGTTCATTTACATAGCCGTCCAGTTCATTATGTTAATTTACTCTTTAGCAAAATCCTCTTGTATGCATAAATTTGAAGAAACAAATTCAACTTTGGAGTAATAAAATTTGAAGACACTTAGGCTCCTCAGGTTTGTAATTTAATGATTTCATATTTTTTTTCTCTGAATTATCTCCATATCCCCTGTTAAGTAAAATTTTAACAGCTAAATATTTTGATTACAAATATTCTTGAAAGCTAAAGTCACAGCACTGTATTCATTCATCAAACAAAAACAAAAAACCTTTGCCTACTGCAACAAATTACATTTAAAACCAAATTACATATGTCCTTTGTAAGAAAAAGAACTGAGATCTGTTTCTCAGAGGCAGACAAAGTACAGGGAGGAGAAACCCACAACAAAGAAAACGTAAAGCTCTACAAACTCAAGAGTAGCTCCCACAGAACACCTGGCTTACTGACCGAATAAAACTAAATTTCCTAAGTTCTTCTTGGTACATACTTACTTTGCTCCTACCGCCAATTCTGTAAACTTATTTTACATAGTTGAATTAATATGGGCTTTTTATAATAAAAATGTTACATTAACTAAAAATTGTCACTGGATTTGGATGTTTACTGTAATTTCTATAACATTTCTTCTCATTTATGAGATATAAATTATTATATATAATTTATTTAAATATATAATTTTATTAAATATATATTTATTAAAAATATTATACATAATTTATTTAAATACAATATGTTGTATTTAAATATAATATTTAAACAGTAACTCCTTAAAAGCAGTACAATTCATTTTGCTCCTATCTCCTGCATTCCCTTGCCTTTACATTCATACTGGTAAAAGTGATGCTACTGGGGAGGAGGGTGGGGGGGGAGGGGTTAGCCTGGTGATGGGTATTATTATTTTTTAAATGTTTTATTTATTTATTCATGACAGTCAGAGAGAGAGAGAGAGAGAGGCAGAGGCAGAGGGAGAAGCAGGCTCCCCGTCTAGCAGGGAGCCCGATGTGGGACTCGATCCCAGGACCCTGGGATCATGACCTGAGCTGAAGGCAGACACTTAACCATCTGAGCCATCCAGGCGCCCTGGTGATGGGTATTAAAGAGGGCACGTATTGAATGGAGCACTGGGTGTTATACGCAAACAATGATCATGGAACACACATCAAAAACTAATGATATAATATATGGTGATTAACATAACATGATAAAATTTAAAAAATGCAAAAAAAAGATGAAAAATAACAACAGCAACAACCAAAAAAGAGATGCTACTTGGCATTATGGTTGAAAGGATCAGCTAACATCTTTTGATTATAAAGCATCCAATTCAACTATGAATAACCGAAGACTGTACAGTCGCATTTTTAGTCTTGAGATGCTATCCTGAAATTCACAATGATGTATCTTTCTTCAATCTAATCCAACTCCACAAACAGTGAGTATGAAAACCAACTGTACCACTTAATAGCTATGTGACACTGGAACAAGTTATTTAACCTCTCTATGCCTCAATTTCCTCATCTGTAAAATGGAGACAGTACCACCTGCCTATGAAATAAGGCCTAGGAAGGGCTTAGTACAGTACCTGGGTTATAGTAATTGCTTAATAAGTGGAAAGGCAAAAGAGACATCAAAAAATACATAAATGTATAGTTTGGTGTGACTGCAATAACATCATCACCACCATAATGTCAGTGGCACAACTGTTAACATCTTACCAATATGCTAGACATCATACTAAGTACATTGCATGCCCATAGAGCAACCCCAAATGTCTCCATTTGCAAATGGGAAAACAGAGGCACAAAGAAATTAAGCAAATGTTCCCATGGTTGCAGAGCTAACAAATGGGAGAACTGAGCAGAGAAATATTAGAGGAAGAGAATGATGCCCTTTATGGGTACTACAAGGGACAGCAGAAAAGATTTCCTAGCAAAGGAAGAAAAGAGCTTAAGGGGACTTTCATTCAGACCTAACTCCTACCTAGTCCACTATTTCTAGAAGCCTATTTCTATTGTCTAAAAGGGTTACTACATTAAAACAGATCTGTGAATTTATAATAAGAATTAAAAGTACAGTTATTTTATTTCCTAATTCTCAAACAGTCTGTATGGGGTATGCAGAGATACAAGGGTTTTGCAAACAACTACAGAGGTGATATTTCACTGACTTCCAAGCTTCCTAGAAACCAATGCCCATTACCATCCTACTGATGCTATTTCAGAACCAGGCAACCAATCAACCAAAGATGGACTTGAAGGGGAACAGAGAGAATAATCAGCTTTGAGGGACCAAGGCATAAGATCATTCTTATACACTGTCGTAGCCCCTTTCCAAGAGGGCCCCGATGAGTCATGTCTCTTGGGTGTCCATGCCCTAATGTAGTCCCTTCCCCCAGTAATAGGGCTGACCTATGTAACCAATAGGGTATTTGCAGAGACAATGGTGTATGACTTTCAGGGTTAGGACATAAAAGATTCTGTGGCTTCTACCTTGTCCTCTTTCTAAGATCAGTTGGTCCAGGGAAAACCAGCTGCCACAATGTGAGACACTTAAGTGGCCCCACAGAGAGGTACAAAAATGGTAAGGGACTGAGGCCTCTTGCAGCCAGGACTGATTCACTAAGCACATAAATGAGTCATCCTGGAAGCAGATCTTCCAGCCCCAGGTAAGCTTTCCAATATCTGCAGCCCTAGCTGACATTTGACTACAACCTCATGAAAGACCCTGACCTAGAACCATCCAGTTAGGTTGCTTCTAATTCCTGACCCACATAAACTATGTGAAATAATACAAGTTTATTCTTGTTTTAAGCTGCTAAATTTTGGAGTATCTTAAACATATATATAGGTCATATAAGTTAAATGCCAGGTAGAATTTACGCCCACAAGCTCATGAGCGTATCTGACCAACTCCCTCTATAAGATATGTAGGTATGTTCCTAATAAAATATACAAAAGACAAGGAAAATTGCATCAGATGATCCCTTGTTTTTCCCCTAATTCTAAGAAGAGTCTATGGTTCTATGGCTTTTGTGCTGGATATGGCAAAGGGAGTTTGTAGATGTATTTACTGAAACCAGTTTTATTCTGTGTGACTTCAGAGGTAAAAATGACAAGTAGGGCAACTCCATAGTGAAGCCAAGGGTGAAGCCCC